ACACAACCAATGAAATGATGCATTTGGCATTAAAGTCTGCGGTTCTGTCATCCTTCAAAGGATATCCGAGGGATGTTGCCATCTTTCATAAGCAGAGATCTTCACAGACGTCCCTTCCTGTGTTGTGGTGGACAAATCACAGAAATCAGCCATGAGCGCCAAAAGCAGAAAGATAGAGATGGCTGGAGAAATCAAGGGCATACATCACTTTTCCTCCAAAAGGCGCCAACTGTGTTGAGTGAATAGTGTTTGCATGCAACTTTTCCCAGTGTTATACATTTGGTTCACTTTTTTACTGTTTTTTTAAAAAATCCTTTTTGCCTTTTTAGGTAGACATTTTTGTAATATTTGTGCTTTTAAGAATTGCAGTTCACTCCTTTGAACAATAAAGGTTAAAGGATTGGAACTTTAGAACGTAGGTCTGGTGCCTTGCTCCAGAAATGCAAAATTAGATAAATTAACATTCATACCCTCTGTCCTTAGGAACAGTCAGTTCCAAAATATTCTCATTCCACCTTAGACCAGGAGAATATAAGGTCTTAATTAGGCACCACAAAGGCCCTGGGCTTAGTCCAGATCAGTCACTGTGGAGAACAACCTGCAACCAAGGCACTACAGGATAAAATGCAAATTTCGTGGTCATTACCAGCCTTATTCTGAACCGCAAGAAAATTCAACAGTGCCTTCAGAATGCACCTTAATATTGGGACAGGTTGGTTAGGAGAAATTAGGCCTTCGTGGCTGTGCTCTAAAAGGACACAAAAATCCCAGTTCCTTCCTTTTATGCCAACCAGCATTTGGGTGGCAGATGATAAAAAATACGTAATCTGGGGGATATAATTTAGGGATTATTGAAAAATCATGGAGGAGAGATGAATGGTACACAAAAGTTTAGAAAGCTTTTTTTTTTTTTAAGGAGCGATACAAGTAGCCCTTGACTTATAACTATAATGGACCCAATTTTACAATGCTTTTTGTAAAGCAACTGCCGTGGTCGATAAGAGACTGCTGTGCTTAAGAAGACCCACTGTTTGTTATATTTAGGTTTTCAGTAAAAAAGTTGTAAAATGCATTCATGGGATATTGCAAATGGCCATAGGTGTGGGGTCAGTTGCTGAGCACCCCAAAAGGCAGTGATGCAAGCATGGAGGGGAGGGAGACGGCGGCTGTCAGAACTTGGAACCAAGTCAGAAGGACCTCCATGGAGGTCCATCATGACTTTGCAGAGTGACTAGGTGACTGTTCATAAATCAAGGACTGTTCATAAATTTAATATCAACAGTTGCAGGTACTCCTCAACTTACAGCCATTCAATGACCGTTCGAAGTTACAACAGCGCTGAAAAAAGTGAGTTTTTCATACTTACAACTGTTGCAGCCTCCCTGTAATTCAAAATGATCAAAATTCAGATGCTTAGCAACCATGTCACAAGCAAAGTCAATGAGGGAAGCCAGATTTACTTAACAACCCTGTTACTAATTTAACAACTGAAGTGATTCAGTTAACAAGGGGCAAGAAAGGTCATAAAATGAGGCAAAACTCATTTAACAACTGCCTCACTTAGCAATGGAAATTTGGGGCTCAGTTGTGGTCATAGGTCAAGAATATCAGTTTTATTGCTGTTTTTAACTATTTTTATGACTACCGTGTTTTTCCAAGGAACACACCTCTAGTTCCAAAACTCCAGTTTTGGTATCCTTTCATCCCAGTCTTTAAATACTTGCCCCAGTCACCAGGTTGACAATGATCTTTTCCAAGACCTGTTTTCCATTCTCCTCCCTTGCTCCTAAGTAGGAGAGTCTTGTGGAACAATGTTTGTGTTTTCTCACTCATACACGTACACATATCAAAGCGTTTTTGGTATGTTTTGAAGTTGAACATATATTGATCAGCCATCAGGTAAGCTAGTCTAAGATCTTTGAACCTTAGAGAGTAGAACAGTGGCACCTTTTGCCCTGGACACCTTCCATTAAACCAAGTGCTGAGAACTATAGGTAACATGGCTATTCTTTCGGAAGAAATTATCTATGTCTGGCAGAGTTACGTGTGGCTGGATCCCCCACAATGGCTCGCTGTGGTTCCAGAGAGGGCTAGTGCTGCTGGGACTGGGGGTCTCTCTCTGGAGGTCCTCAGTGGAATGGTAGCTCTCCAGTCCTGCAGGAGAAACGTCCAGAAACCAGTCATTTGAACGCTGAATCCAAAGTGGGACTGTAGCTGATGGCCTTGAGAGGACATCTGGTTGTCTATTATTGTTTGTGGGCTCAATCCACAGCGTCCCTCCTTGCCTCCACACAGTTGGCACAGCTCCTGTTTCTTGGGGCAGGGACCCCCGGAAAACCCATTCACAGAGGACAGCTGAGACCACAATGAACACAGCTGCAACGATCGCCAGGCTTACCATGATCAGCAAGCAGTTACCACAATCACTTAGTGGGGAGGCAGTGGAAGGAGGCGGCAACTCAACACTTGTTGAGGGACCCAACATGACAGCGAATGGACAAGGACCAAGTCAGATCAAGTTGGCTGCATCTGGAACCAATATTACTTTTGTTAGAAAAAAGCTGGATGGAGAAGAAAATGGGAGGAGACGGGTCAGAGAACCGTATGTAAAAGAGTTAGCAATCTTTGACGCAACTGAGGGATGTGAGAGAGTTGTGCAAACTTAGCCCAACAACTCAAAAACAACTCATATTCGTCAGCCCAACAAAATGCTCTAAGTGCAATACCAGTACTAACTTGGTGCTTTCCCAATGTGTAGGATGAGATCTCCAAATATCCAGCCATTGTAATTATTATTAGGTAGAAATTCTGTGAATTGTAGCCTAAAGACATTTGAAAGACAGATGACTGAGAAAGGCTAGAATAGAACAAGAACTCTGCCTTGCAAATCCCAACCATTTTAAAAGTCCTTCTAAGCCAACTGTATCTTGTATCCCGGACAGTTTCCTCCAGTTTGAACTATTTCAATACTAGGGCTATTTATTGCTTTGGATATATATACCAAATATAGCATATGTCTGCAACTTTTTAAAGCATCCGTATCTTTTCCTAGAATATCATGACAGCTGCACAGGGCAGTTGTAAGATCCCAGAAGACATGGATGCTTTAAAGAGTTGCAGGAAAGCATTATATTCGTGTCCGCATATGTTCCAAAGCACTTTTTGGAATCAATTCCAAATTGCTGCATAGCTATACTCTACACCAGGCATATATAGGCCAAAATATCTGGACAACACAAGGTTAAAGGAGGCTGTCGTATCTTTTTCTATATAATTTTAGGTACAATCTTCTGTGGTAGCCTTAAAAAAATCTGAAGATAGCTTTGGACAAAGTAGGTTATCCTTAATTTATCAAACAAGACTAAATGGAAAGATTTTTTTAAGGAAAGGTGGGATGTAAACTTAGTTAATCGCCATAAAAATAAAAATCCAAAACATATAAGGCAGGGTCTAAGCTAGCCACGAGTTTCTCTGTATTTTCTTCTTGTAAGGTTATGCTACTTTCCCTTCAGATGATAGCTGAGATGTCTGAAGCCATAATCCCAGCCCAATCATAGGATGCCAGGTTAAGAAATGCGAGGTATGTTTTCAGCTCAGAGGCATGGGAAAAGGGGCCATACTTAAGGGAAGTGAGGGAGGGGTGGAAGAAGGGGAGGCAGAGGGAAAAGTTGGAAGAAGGGGAGGAAAAAAAGAATTCTAACCTCAGATATCGGAAATTATGCTGGATTTCTGTCTTCAATGTTCAAGCATTTTGGCCTCCAAAGAGCGTCATACCCTTGACTTGCCTTTGACAACAGTGGAGAAAAGGATGTGGGATACATGGCGAGTCACATCACTTCCTGGGCACACCCACTCGGAGTTGTGGGCTAAGAGCAAAGCACTTCCTCCTAACAGACTTATCTTTCAACTCAGGTGACAGCTTGTCCCCTGCTCAGCAGTGATAACAACTGGTCCCCTTCCAAGGAAAAAAGACTAGGAGACAAACCAAACCCACCACAGGAGAAAAATATACAGCATAAATTTAATTCAGCTACTATGCAGCACAATTAAATTAAGGAAGGGGATTATTACAGCCAAAGACAGTTCAAGTTTCCAGGTTATTGGTTCTGTGTTATTGGTTTTTTTTTTTCCCCTCTCATGCGTTTTTTTTTTTTTTTTCCAGACACAAGGAAGAAATACACGCACACATTTGGGATTTAAACTAGTATATAAACTGCTCTGATCATAAATTAATAATGGGTCATTGACAAAAAGAGATGAAACACCAGCCAAGTAAAGAAATCATCAACCACCAACAAAATAAAAATACAAAATTAATAACACAAGTGTCCCAAACACATGCACACATGAAATCCACTAGGAGAAAAGAGGTAGATTTTTGAAGGGGGGAGGGAATTAATTGAGGAATACATTGAATAAAGGAAGGAGGTTGAGTTGACTGCAGGCAGGAAAGGTGGAGGGGCGGGGAGGGGAGGACTTTTACAGGCATTCCACATCCAGCATCAAGGTCAAAAACTCAAATTTTTCAGAAAATGCCACATATTTTTAAAGAAAAGAAGCATTTTCTGAAATGCAGAAGAAATGTGTCAGGGCCTCCAACGGCTTCTTACAACAGGAAGTGTCCATGCTGGGACAAGGGAAATCTGGAAAGAAGGCAGTCGGGAGAGGCCAAAAGCACACACCAAAGAATTTAGTATCTTATTCCAAAATTTAATTTTATGTGTGTGTGGGGGGGAACTACTGCTCTTTCTTTGAAGCAATGTTTACTCCAACCTAACATGTCCTTTTGGCCTGTTTAGGGTAACAGAAAATTGTTTGGGAAGGAGAAAGGTGAGGGGGAAGGAATGCAGTGTTTCTCAACCTTGACAATTTTAAGGCATGTGGACTTCAACTCCCAGAATTCCACAGCCAGCATTGCTGGCTGTGGAATTCTGGGAGTTGAAGTCACATGCCTTAAAATTGTCAAGGTTGAGAAACACTGGAATAAAGGGATATCATTATTGGTGTGCTCTTTCTACTCAAAGTTGTGTCCCCCCCCCCCCAGCTATACAGGACAGGTTTGAGGAAGCCACACGGATGTTGTACAGGTTTCCCAGAAGCTCCTGGAGACCAAAGACAAGTCCTCAAAACAAAACCCTTGGTTGCAGGAAATGTGTGAACCCCGTTGTAGATTCGAAAAATTGAGCTTATCTATTTCTCCCACCTATCCCTGTCTGGGAAAACTTTTAAGGGGAAAGCGATTTGAAGGGAAACACATCCATCCTTAGCCTAAGGCAGTGTTTAGCCTTGTCTGCTTTAAGATGTTAGACTTCAGCTTCCAGAATTCCCCAGCCAGAAAGAACAGACACCCCTCATTTCAAGAACACTACTTCTCTTCATTCCAACCTGGCCATCTCTTTTGGGAGGAAGCCAGGTAAGACCCCATGTGTATAGGGAAAGGAAAATATTGGTGCAGAGCTAGGGAGAAGAGAAAGAACTCACAAAGACAGTGCCCACAACCCAGAGTTTTCCAGTGCAGTACAGGAACGGGGGAAGGGAAAAGACACCCATCAGTGGGGAAAAAAAATCCCTTCCCCCAACTTCTCCACTTTCAAATAATAATAATAATAATAATATAATAACGACCCAGACACCCCCTTTCCCAAATGTCTGGCCATAAGTCAAAATATTCAAGAGTGCAGGATGAAGGGCAGCGTTTCCCTCTTCTTTTCATCTCTCCGCTGCCAGCAGCAATGCCATCCCTTTGTGTCCTCTGTCCCTTTTCTTCGGTCTTTCTTTTCTTTTTCCGTCATGACCATCCAAGGGGCAGCTTCATCTCTCTTCCTTTCTGGACACCTTGGAAGAATGCCATGCTGTGGAGCTGCCGAGTGGGAGAAAAATAAAATAAAAAAAAGTATTACAGGTAGTCCTCGACTTACGACCAAAATTGAGCCCAAAATTTCTGCTGCTAAGTGAGATATTTGTTAGATGGGTTTTGCCTCTTTTTATCACCTTTCTTGCCACAGGTGTTAAAGGAATCACTGCAGTTGATAACTTAGTAACCCCGGTTGTGAAGTGAATCTGGCTTCCCCATGGACTTTGCTTGTTAGAAAGTCGCAAAAGGTGATCACATAACCCTGGGACACCGCAACGGTCATAAATACGAACCAGTTGCCAAGCATCTGAATTCTGATCACATGATCATGGGAAGCTGCAAAGGTCAAAACTGTAAAGAAGTCTCGTTTTTCAGCACAGTGGTAACTTTGAACGGTCACTAAACAAACTGTTGTAAGTCGAGGAGTACCTGTCTTACCTCCTCTTTCTCCTTCTGTAAAGACAGAGCCCCCAACCTGCTGGTAAGGGACGGTACAACAAGCTACCAATTTCAAAGACTCACCGGATGAAGGTTTTGAAGGCAGCTGACTGGGGGTTGATGCAGAGTGGGACCCGTTTCCCATGCTGCTGTTCCAAGATAAACCTGTGCACCAGTTCTGAAAAACAAAGAGTACACTTTTATTTGGTCACCATCAGGGCCACAAAAATCCCCCCCTCCCCAATTTTTGCAGCCCAAATCTGTAGACCTACCGTATTTTCCGGCGTATAAGACGACTTTCTAAACCATGCAAATCTTCTCCAAAGTCGGGGGTCATCTTATACGCCGAGTCATCTTATATGCCGGAAAATACGGTATATTTACATAATATATGCCCCTCTCTTCTTCTCCTCTATTTTTCTATGTATTTTCATTCTGCCTCTCCTAACTCAGGCAAGCCAAGGCCATCACACCTGTTTGGGATAATAGAAGCAGCAAATCACAACCGAATCGCACATTCGGACACTTGCCATCCAAGTGACTTGCCCCATGGACACTTAGAACATCACCTGCAGATTCAGATAAATCCCTACTTCTGCAAAATCTTCGTCCCCTCTTTGTAAATCTCCTCCTCCTCCAAAATGAATAAATGCCATTAGTGCTACATGGTTGCACAGGGGAATTGGAATTTGGGAAGCAACCCAAATGGGATGTGCTTCTTAGCATGAAGTGACACAAAAGGATGTGTTAACGTTTGACTTCTCCATAATTATATAAGATGATACAAAAAAAAACAAGGAGGATGAAGAAGAACTGAAATCACAAAGTCTGGTGGAATTCATGGAAGAATTATGTACATTAATTGCTCTCACGTACTTAGTGTAAGACAGTTAAGATCAATATTTAGCTCCTAAATTAGCAACTAGCAATAGCAATGTCCCAAAGGTGCTTTTTCAAGAAGCAACTGGACTTTCTTGTTTTTCTTTGAGGACGTTTCACTTCTCATTCAAGCTTCTTCAGCTCTTGCCTCTTGAAAAAGCACCTTTGGGACAACCATGACCTGGATGACTAAGAATCTCCACAGACCGTTAGCAATAACACTTAAGACTTATATACCGTTTCATAGTTTCATAATCCAGCATTGTAACCACTGCGCCATCACTATGTTAAAAATGGAGCCCTCTGAACACCCCAGGATTTGTGAGGTGGTTTGGACTCAATCAACTACCTTTGACCTGCCAGACAGAAGCAAGGTTCTTTTCATAAGAGCCGTCAAATTTGGGGTCGGCCCGGGGTTCAAAGTCACTGGTGTAAATGCGGCCGGAGGAGACCGAAAAGCAGCAAGTGCACATACAGGTGTGGTATCTCAGTCGCCCTTCATCTAAGTAAGGATGAGAAAGGGCATCCTTGGCCGAGATCCGCTTGGCCTGCAGAAAAAGGAAGGACTGTGAGCATCACCAAAAAAGTCCCACTGGGAGAACTCTATTGTATAGAGGCAGTTCTAGACTTATGACTGTAAGGGAGCCTTCCCATTAGTCACAGATCATAATGGTTGAAAAAAATGGGTCAGTCATATGACCAGCCTGCTTCTATGACTTTTTGTGGCGGTTATTAAGTGAACATCATGATCGTTGAGTGATCTGTTCGCTATGGCATGGTTTTGCCTAAAATTGAAAGCAAATGCCATTTTTTTGACAAAACCATCGTAGCATGCAGTCATGTGGTCATGGGATAATGCAAACGGCGGTAAATATGGCCATGTTGTTGAGTGCCCCAAATGCAGCCACTTGAACTGTGGTGGTGGTGAGGAACCATCGGAACTTCAGATCCAGGTCACAAGTCCCTTTATCTGGTAGGTCATAACTTTGAACGGTTGCTAAGAGCGACTGTCCTAAGTTGAGGACCACCTGTACAATAGCATTTCTCAACATGCTGGCTGGAGAAACATGGGAGTCCGCACATCTTAAAGTTGCTACGGTTGAGAAACACTGGTGTACAGTATCAACCAATTAAAAAATCTCAATTCAATGCCTGATTTTGCAAAGAGATTTTTTTTTTCATTTTGCCAAAAACATCCAGATGGCTCCCTCTATGACTTACTAGCAATATGTATACAGAAGAGCTCTTGAGTTATTCTCTTAAGCCAGGGTCTCCAAACTTGGCCCTTTTATGACTTGTGGACTTCAACTCCCAGAATTCCTCAGCCAGTGTGCCTGGCTGAGGAATTCTGGGAGTTGGTCCACAAGTCATAAAAGGGCCAAGTTTGAAGACCCCTGTCTTAAGCCATGGTATCTTTTTGGCTTCTGCCTTACAGTAGACCAAGATGAGACAAACCAATCCTCCAACAAGACACTAATTTTAACTCTATGCACTCCCCTATAGAAATCCTATTTTAATTAATTTTATTTAATGTATATGTTGTCCAGAGTTGCTTCAGATAGTGAGATAGCTGGCATGTAAATTTCATAAATAAAAAACATAAAATTTCTGATTACTAAAAGGACCAGACAAATGGTACATATGGCTGAGTTACATCATGTAACAATCACCACTGATTATAACTTTATAATAAATCCAAGTTTGATTAAATGTTTTCAAGCATAATCACATATTGGAGAGTAGTATGTTGCTCAGAGTTGGCAGATAGGAGTAGCCTGTAAGGACAGTGACCATATATTCTTGGGAAAAACAGAGAACAAATCTGAAAAGGGGGCAAATCTGAATGAAGACCAGAAAGGAATTGAAAAGATTAAAACAAATCCTCAATTTAAAACCCTCAACTCATTTAGTAACCATTCGAAGTTACAACGGGATTAAAAAAAAGTGACTTATGACTGTTTTTCACACTTACGACCACTGCAGCAGCCCTGTGGTCATGTGATCAAAATTTGGATGCTTGGCAATTGGTTCATCTTTATGACAATTGCAGTGTCCCGGGATCATGTGATCACCTTCTGACAAGCAAAGTCAGTGGCGAAGACAGATTCCCTTAACAACTATGTTACTAACTTAACAACTGCAGTGATTCACTAAACAAGTGTGGCAAGAAAAGTTGTAAAATGGGGCAAAACTCACTTAACAAATTTCTCACTTAGCAACATAAATTTTGGACTCAATTGTGGTCGCAAGCCGAGGATTACCTGTTAATTCTTTAAGTTTATAAGGAGACAGCCAGCATCACTTTTATTCCAGTGTATATTGTCTTAAGGCACACAAAATTTGATCAAAAATGCTTACAATGCTCAGAAAATAAACTTCTTAATACTGCTGTATTTGCAAATGGTTGCTAACTGAGATTGCCACTAAGTGAGGAGTGGATGTATACTGTCTCTATCATTTGGCATATCTGAGGGTTTATCTCTACCTCTTCAATTTTATGCCCCTAACAACTGAACAACAATAGCGAGGTGAATGTGAGAGAGAGACAACCTGACTAGTCTAAAGTTTTCCTTGGACTACATGGCCAACTCACTGGATCAAAGACCAACATCCGGCAGAGCAAATGCACAGCTTCGTGGGTGGCTTCTCCAGAGAGCATGTAAAGGACAGACAACGATGGCTAGGGGGAAAAAAATGCCAAGTGTTAAAAGACTTTCTTTGTTCCCATGGCTCTTACCGTCCCAGCCCTGGTGGTACTCACCGGCTTGTGACTGCCACGCAGGATGTGGGCCCGGGCCCCCTCACAGGCTGAACGGAGGGCACCAATGGGAGGAGTCCCCAGGAGATCTGTAATCAGGTCCAACTGCCACCCGTAGATCAAAGGAAGAAGAGAAGAAGAAGAAATGGAGAAAGAGAGAGAAAAGGGAAAGAAGTTACTCCTTTGGTGCCGAGTAGTGGACATTTTGTGGAAGCACAAGCTGAAATGTTCTTTCATGCCTTCTGCAACCACACACTTTCGCAACTCTTTCTTCAATACCTGCTGAATTGGGCTCTGGGCCTGAAAGAGGATACGCCTGCCAAGGAGTTCGGCGAAAATGCAGCCCACGGACCAAATGTCAATTGGACGTCCGTAATGCCTGCTGCCCATCAGGATTTCAGGGGCCCGGTAATATTGAGTAACCACCTCTTGAGTCATGTGCTGGGACTCATCTGGCTCCTCTACCCGGGCCAAACCAAAATCACAGATCTGAAGGAAAGATGAAAAGGTGTGGTCAACCTGAAGAAGCTTCTAGAGAAATAAAACTTCCAGACCTATTTTTCTCCATTATTTGCTGCTCCTTCTGGGAATCAATATTCTTTCAATGCCACTGAATGGTATTAATTAATGCATTCTAAAATGGGAGCTGGATGGATGCTTCCTAACCCTGGCAACTTTAAGAGGTGTGGACTTCAACTCCCAGAATTCTCTGGCCAGCATTAGGGAAGCTCACAAGGCTTGTAAGGACCTTGCTGGGGGAGAGGGGTGAGAAAGGCCTGTGGACCCCAGTAGTGGTGAGGGAAGCAGGCCCAAGGCCTATGGGAACATCAAGGGGCAGGAAGCAGATCACAGAGGATGGGGGAGGCCCTACGAGTCTGGGGCAGGTGGGCCTGGGCCTGCGCTAGGTTTCCCAAGTTATCCCCTACCCGAGGCATCCAGTGCTCCACTTAACGGCTACATGAAGGATGGCAGAGGTGGGATCGTTAAGCAAGATCACGTGGTTGCCTCACTTAAATGAACATCACAACTTACAACCGTAATGGGCAGATGCCATTAAATTCATAATTTGCGGACTACTTGTACACAAATAAAGGTTTCTGTGCCTCAAATTCAAGTACACTGCATTAAATTAAATACAATTCATTTGATCACTTCTTGCATGGTTAATTTTTTTTCTTTTGTCACATCAAAAATAGCAATTTGCTGGCTGTGACTATATCAGCTGCAAGACTATGAGACAGAGAATTATTGAAGATATGTATGTGTTAAAATCTACAGCATGGTGGGCACCGTGTCACCACCAATAGCTTTGGGTACAATGGCGTACGTGACAACTTATAGATTTGTCACAACTATACACATATGTATACACCCAACATCCTTATTCTTAGCATAGTATGATTCACAGTGATTGGAGTGGGAGGGTGGGTGAAAACATTTAATCTTTGGCCATAATAGCTAAAAATGCTGGACGTGACAGTCTCCCCAGAGGTGGCTATCTTGAAAACTGCCTGGGTTGGCTAGGATGAATTACCTTGAGGACACAGTTGCTGTTGACCAGCAAATTCCCAGGCTTGATGTCCCGATGAAGGACACCAGCAGAGTGCAAATATTTTAGCCCTGGAGAAGTAAGGCAAAAGAAAAAAATACATTGGGTGTTCCCAAACTTAACTGGAGTGAACAGATGCAATAAAAATTAAAACTAAAATTAAACTCATTATCAACATAGTTTTCAAAACTAAAACTTTTATGTAAGTTCTGAACTACTGCCAAAGTGCTGAGCCTAGTGTTGAGTTTGATTCCAAATATATTTTACTTAACATTAAATAACTAAGAAAATTTAAAAAGGGACACTCATTATCTCTTCTAAGAAAATAGCCTCTTAAGTCGCACATATGCATGATTTTTAAATCCTGAAAAGAAACTCCTTGCTTCAGAGCTGTTGCTTCCAATTCTGTTACAACAGTGAACTCAAATGATCAATTTTCTCAGGTGTATTTTATGGAATTGCAACTATGCAAGGATCGTCAGAAAAGAAGGGAATGGGAGGAACTTTTAAAATAAATGACTTGCAACAGGACATAATTAGGAAGGACAGGAGCAAAGGAAACGAGCAGGACAAAAGGGCAAAAGAAATCTGGTAATATTAGAGGACATATGGAAGAGACCTTCAAGAGGGTTAACAGAAATACAACTTGTCTGGTCATCTTATCAAACCCCTGCTGGATCTCCGCCCCCATGGCTCTCCATCCCAATTCAAAAACATGCACAAGGAAGATCTCAACATTTTTCCAACCCCTCTACTGTCAAAGCATTAGACAGATAGCAACCCATCAATGAATTGTACCTTCTTCTTCATGGGACCTGAAGCCCCTGAGATCCAGTCTCCCCTTTGAGACAATGTAAAATACCCTTTACTCTCTTTGATTCTTCATCCTTAAACTTTCCTACTTCTGATTATTCTCACCCTCGCTTCTTGTCCCCTTCAATTAATTCTAGTCTTGACTAAATTCTGGCACCCATAACTTTGATCACCAGTGGAGTTATGGAATCTTGTAACTTCGAATTGAGGATTCTACAACTGCAGGCTATGCATATGATTTAGAAGCTAACCAATTTGTATAATGTGAGATGAATGGTGCAATGTTAGGAATGACTCAGCAGGAGTCTGTATTCCTTTAAGAGCTTGAGTATAAAAGGGAAGGCCTTGCTGGAGTCTTTCTCTCTTAATTGCTGTATATTGGAGTTTGCTGAATTATCACCATGTATATGTATTTTGTTTCTAGTGTATATTTGTAGATAGTGTAATACAAACCACCATTTAATACAAACCACTGTTTACTGTATTTACTCCTGGGTTACCTCAGCGCAATAAGACTGTGCATGCTCTGACAGCATAGCATCAGCCAACTCTGTATAGACATTGTCCTATTTGTTCACATTCTTCTCCTGAATGATTACAATCCTTGCCATGTTATACGGCTGCCAAGCCAGACAGCTCTACATTCGCACTGAATCTAAATAAAAAACTTTGCCCAAATGGACAGAGTTCCCAATTTATGGCATTTCCAAGTCAGACTTACCCCTGAGGATCTGATACAAAAAGACCTTGATATGATCAGAGCTGAGTGGTTGCGGAGAAACTATGACTTTGTGAAGGTCACTTTGCATCAATTCAGTGATAACATAACTGATGATCATTGTCAAGGAAGGTGATGGGGAACAGAACAGAGAAAGGAGGTTATCTGAATACCCAGCTCTTCCCATTGGAAGCAAAAAGAAAAATTACTTTCCCACCATTTTGTAAAACCAACAAGCTCAGAATAAGGAGGCATATATACCAAACAGCAGGACAAAGTGAGATAAAATAAAATAAGAAAATATAGAAAGAAAACTGTTTTACAAATCAGCCATCGCTAACCTGATACTCTGCATATAGGCTGGAATGCCAACTCATATCAATTTTGGAGGACACAAAACTAAGGAAAGACTGGCATAAATCAAAAAGAACTAAAGAACCTCAAAAGCATCTCCAGTGCAGAACTGAGACATGAAATGTGTGTGAGACTGGACTAACCTAACTACTAAGAAATTTTAAAAATCAGTACGGAAACCCTTTTCTTAACTGCAAGGAAAATAAAAGAAGACAAAAGTACAGATAAAATAAGCAAAAGCAATCTTTTCTAGTACTTTATACTACTGCACAATCTCAAAATGAGGTACTTCCTGCCCACAAATGCCACTCAAATTTCATGCAATTTTGACAATCACACCACAGACTCTAATGGGGGATTATGAAAAAGTTAGAATATTTGTAACAAAAAAAAAACCCAACTGAGCATCAATATATGAGGCCACGGCTTCTGTGAATATTGATGATTGTACGCTGCCCAGAGTTACTTGTTAATGAGATGAGCAGCATATAAATTAAATAAACAAATTTAATAAATAAATACACATTAATTATACAATTACTAGCTAAAGTTGTGTTGTTGACCTCTGAGGTTAAAAGAATAGTATCATAACTTTCAGTAATAAACTGCTTGCTAGCTATAACTAGGTATTTATTACTAAAAGTTATGATTCTATTCTTTTAAGGCAGGGGTCCCCTACCCCTGGACCACAGCCCACTATAGGGCTGCAGCCTCTTTGAAACCAGGCCTTGTGAGCGATGGGCAAGCATGTGTGCATGCAAAGCTCCACTCACATGAGTGACGCAAATGGAAGCACCATCCACTCAAGCACCCTTCACTCCATTCATGTGGAGGGCATGTGCACCCAGTGCTCACACCAATGAAGCTGTGCGCGTGCAGGCACCTGGCACTCACATGCTCCCCCTTGCCAGGCTAGGCCGCCAAAGTAGAAAGGTTGGTGAGCACTATTTTAAGGAGATGAAACTGGAAGAAAACATAACATGTAAGATATGACAGCTCTACCTAGGTGCTGCTGCAACATTTACGCATGAAAAGATAAAGTAGGAACAATCAGACCTGATGGTCTTTTCAACTTGCAAACAGAGCTTGGTGGCCTCTGAGCAAACAAATAACCAAATTCAGACAGCACCAAGGACACCACAGTCAGACCATCCGTGACCATCCACTCTCATTACTCTTCATATATAGAAAGCCACGGTCTCCGGCAAGGATCTGACTTCAGACCTCAATCTCTAGCATGGTATCCAGACCCCACAAACCTCAATGGCCACCAGGTTCCATGCCCTCCTCATATTCCATTAGATTCATGTATTTACTGTCCAAAGAAGTTAAATGGGAAGCTAGCAGGTCCAGAATAAAGTCCTACCACCATTTCTAAGAAAGCCTCTGGGTCAGACCCCAAGGAACTCATAAAAGTGGAGGAAGCTGCCCAGAAACAACTGAGGAACTTAGACTGGTATGAAACTTCTTAGGAGTGTTGAAGGAATGATGGAGAGCAGCTTCACCAAGTTACCATTAGGTAAATAAGGACCATCTATGCCAACTATAAGAGACTTAAAATAGCAACTGTACCTATTGGTGTCCAAAGGCTGTGGACATCTGGCTTAGGAGACTGAGCACTTAGATTTCCTAGCATTCTCAAGCTCAGAGAGAACCTATTGGGAATACCATGCTGCAGTTGACTTCAAAACCCAAAGACTGGAGCAAAGCTAGTGAACCATTCAATCATCTTCAGGTAAGTAAACATACAGACTGGGGCAAGAGGGAAGGGATTTCACATAAACTTGGATCATCTGAAAATAGCCGACAGAGGCTGAAAAACTTGGCAAGGAACAGTGGCAAGGACAACCTCAAAGAACTGCATGAGAATATAAGGAGGGAAATCCAAAGCAGTACTGTAAATGAAGGAAATAAAAAAATATGTGAGAAGTAAAAGAGAAAAATCAAAAGAAATAGAACATAAGGATACTGCAAAAAAAAAAGAATCAAATCAAACTTAAGAAAAGCAAGAACAATCAATAAGTATTTCACTTCCTCTTCTCACATGTAGCATGTGTAGAGGGGGAAAAAGCAACAAAAGGTAACGGTAGCACAAAATGGAGCATGGGAACAGTAGGGAAAATGAGGAAAGAACTTAGCTACAGGTGGAATGAAGGATACATTTCCTCAAAACAGTCAATCTGTGGAGGTTGGAGGATATCCAGTGCTGAGAGGACCTGAAAAGAAAAAAAAAAGACATTTTTTTTTATCTGAAATAGGGTCTCCTGCCTGAGCAGAGGGTTGGACTAGAAGACCTCCAAGGTCCCTTTCAACTTTGTTATTCTATTAAAATCTGAAAATATCCCATCACAGACAGAAAGGATGAAACCAGTGATGGAACCTAATATCTGTACTGTAATCTGGTGTTTTGGCATGACAGGCCTATCAAGATTAATGTACCACTCGCCCCCTCCTAGTAATAAAAATAGGACAACAGCAACTAATAATGTATCTACTCGGAAACAGGACTGAAACTTAGCTGGTAAGAGCAGCCTGCACAGTTTGTCTAATAATAGGGTCAGCCCTGCCACCCACACCTGCAATGACTTGGTCAGTGCAAGAGACCCTTCATAACTTCACGAACAAGGCACACCATCCAACCGTCCTATGCTGGCTGAGGAATTCTGAGAGCTGAAGTCCACAAGTCTTAAAGTTGTCAAGGTTGCAGACCCTTGCTATACACCATCAATTTATGCCCATCTCTTTCAATCTTCCAGCTTTGTCCCTGAGGTGAAATGGCCCTTCACCAGCTTCTTTGTGCCAGGGAGCAAGGCCTACCACTGGCCCTGGCCTACCATCAGAGGCCATCTCCTCCTTCCACTGCTTCTCAATGAATTATATTACTCTTGTCTGCAAGAAAACAACCAAGATCAGAGAGCACCAAGGACCCCACAATTTTGAAACTGCCCATTTCCCTCACAGAGAGACACTGGGCAATGTACAAATTATTAGAACATAAAAACAGTAAATAAAAGAAAATTTAAAAAAAAGGTCAGAATGATTGAAAATCAAAATATACACCTACACATTTCCACAATGCACATTCCTAAATCTGGGGAAACTTAACCCAAACCCAGGGTGCCATAGAAGGACCATATCTGTCCCAGAAGTGGCTCTGCAAACTGATCCACACTCACATTGTCATGTTTGAAGTAACAGAGCATTCTCAATTCTCTGAAGACCCGTTTGCAAGAGACCAAGTTCTGGAAAACATTGGGCATCTTTTTGAGTGCAACTCGTGACCCATCCCGAGGGTCTGTCACAGACCTGCAGGAAGAAGAAAAATGTCCTTCCATTTACATTTTGGTAATAAGAAAGGGTAGACCACAGCAAGGAGGCAATTACAATGTAATTTTAGAAAGAGAGAGCAAAAGACGAAAATACATTTTAAGATCTGTTCTTAAGAAGATTGGAAAACATTTCTTTATATTTTTTTCCGTTTTTTTTTTCTATTTCCTTTCTTACAATTCACTATTTTTCTCTATTTCTTTTCTAAATTCTGTACTGCTTTTTATCCTAAAAATTTCTTTAATAAAAATTATTTTTAAACAGGTAGTCCTCGACTTAGAACCACCTGTTTAGGGACCGTTCGATGTTACAAGTGTACAAAGTTACTTATGACCGATCCTCAGACTTTAGGAGTGTTGCACCATCCCCCCAATCATGTGATCAAACTTCCGGCCCTTGGCAACCATTTTGTATTTACAATGGTTGCTGTGTCCCAGGGTCATGTGATCATCCTATGCAACTTTCCTGGCTGACAGTCCGATAAACAAAGTCAATGCGGGGAACCAGATTTGCTGAACAACTGCATGATTCACTTAACAACTGCAGTGAATCGCTTAACAACCAGGGCAAAAAAGCTTGTGAAATCGGGTGCTTAGCAATGGAAATTCTAGTCTGAATTGTAATTGTAACTATCAATCCTTTCCTGCCTCTATTACCTTCATCCTTCTCTACTATCATACAGCAGTAAATAACTCCTCACTCACCATACCACACCAAAAGCACCATAACCGATGGGTCGATCTGGTTCTGGGTCCACCATCATCGCACTGCCAAGTGTTGTCTGCTGTTGCTGGGGGGGAGCTATCTGTACCCCATTATTGCAATAATATTTCTGCCCCCCACCTAGCCCAGCAGCAAAAGGTGGCTGGATTAACCCCGTCAATGCCCCAAAAACATTGCTACAAAGCTGAGCTTGAAGCGGATGGTTAGGGTCTTGGAAAGCCATCAGACAAATTAGGACAGGGGTATGTGAGAGACACTAATTTTGGACAAGAAGATTGGGAGAGGCGCAAAACAGCCCTCTGGAATTGAAATCAATTGTGGTTTGCAAAAAGGAGGCTCGGGAATATTGAGCAGAAAATACCTGGCTTATTAGGGCAAATCTCACAAGCAAAATAAATGCATGCAAAATTGTGCGCTCCAACGAAGGAGTGTTTTTATACAAGTAGTATTTTTTCTCCTTTAAGGTTTAAAAAAATCTTTAAAGAGGTATCTTGGCTTATTTTAAATTTAAAATGATTATTACAATAAAGGGTAAAATATTCTGGGACAGTTTGATATGTTTCAGGGACTGTATTCACCCTGGCTGAAAGTGGGGGGGGGCGACAGAGCAACTGATGAAAATCAGTTCTCTAACCAAATCTCTGATGTGGGGGGCATCAGGGAAGATTTCTAAGAAGGTGCGTTTTCTCCAGAATGCACAGAAAAATTTGGAATATTGTACTTACATTAAACATAAAAGGGGAGAATGATTAAGAATAGATGTAAAGCCTTGACAATCTATAGGAAAAGAGCAGAAATGTTGTATAACATTTTTCTCTTAATAGGTGAGCTCTGTGTAACCATAAGACATTTAAACAGGATTTCTGGGATTACGTTAATTTTAAAAAATATTAAACAGAGAACAGAGCACTGAGGTTTTATCTCACCATATAACCAAGATGATGGATATCCTGGGCTGTACTGAAATATCAAGAGGCCTAAAAAAAATTTGGGAATCTTATCCACACGTTAGGAAATACAAGCTATGCAAGGGAGGCACTCTCTAGATTAGAGCAAGAGAAATGGAAGTAAGTTTAGGAAGAGCACTTCACGAATTGGAGTACGAGGTCTATTGCCTTTCTAGTGAGGTGTGAAAATGCTGCGGTATTCCCAGCAAAATATTAGAAGGGGGTTCGGTGACCCGAAACGCCCAAAATTGCAAAAATATCCCCTTCCAACAGAATGGAAAACCTCAAATGAGGATGTGGTATAACTATAACAGAACAGCTGCCATCTGAATCAACCTTAACTCACTTGTACACTTTGGGGAAAGTTTCTCAACAATCAAAAGGGGGGAGGGGCAGACCCAATAAAAAGGGGGTGCAGAGAAAGCAACTCTCTTGGCAACCAGCCCTGTTAGGCTACAGGAATATGTGATTAAATCTGGAGATATCAAAGAACCACCACCCCCTTACTTCTACGCAACAAGAGGGGCAACAGATTGGAAAAAAGATGCCCGGATAAGTGCGGAAGTAAAGTTTAGGGGTTTAGATCTGCAAGGTGTGAGTGGGGGGGGGAGGAATAAACAGGGTGCAAAGGGAGGCCTAAGGGAGGCTTGCCTTGAAAACGGCAAGCGAGGCAAGGCAGATCTTGGGGTGTTCTCAACTTTTCTTCCCCGACAGGGAAAAGGATTCAATCCTCAGCCCAAGACGGGTCCTAGCGACGGGCCAGTGGGGGGGAAGGTGGGGGCTCCCATGCTGCAGAAGGGGGTCCTTCCCCCACCCGCCCCCCCCGGGTGGGCTTCGCAGCGTCTCAGCAAGGCATGGGTGCGGAGGGGGGGCGCTGCGGTCGGAGACAAAAGGGGTTCCCCGGGACGCAGACGCGCCAAGCACCCCACTTCCCCGGCAGACCAGCAAACCCCGGGCGAGCAGGAGCTGGAAGAGGAGCAGGAGCGGCAGCCGAGGCGGCGGCAGCGGCGAAAGCTGGGCGGGCGGGGTGCCTGGCGGGGTCTTTGTTAGAGGCGCCGGGGGTCCATCTTTACGGGGCCGGAGGAAGGAAGGAAGGCAGGAAGGCAGGAACCAGGCAGGAAGGAAAAGGCAAGCTGCGTGCGAGGAGGCCAGCGACGCCGGCGGACCCCATCTGCTGGCCGCGGGGAGAGAGGCAGGCGGGCGGGCGGGCGATGGGTTGCGGGGAGCGGGCGGGAGGAAGCCAGCCTGGGGCGCCGAGGGATTAAAACGGCTCGGAAAGGAAAAGCCCGGCTGCTTTGCAGAAGCCACGTGGCCAAACAATACGTAGGTTTTCTAGCTGGAAAGCCTTTGCCTCGTCTGGATTTGGGGTTGAAAATGTGTGTCCGCGGAGAGAGAGAGGGGGGGGAACACAATTTCTAGATTTGAGGATGGGGAAAAAAAGGATGGAATGGGGGGGGGCTGGATTTTTGCAACACTTAAGGGATGGAGGAAGGGCAAAGTGTTCGCTGATCGCTGTTGAAAAGAAGGTCGGGAGCCCAGTAACTTATTTTCTTTTTTTCTGAGGAGTATTTAATAATCTTTGTTTATTTATTGAATCTTTAATAATCGTTAGTCTTTGTCTCCCCCCTTTGTTTGCCTGTTTTATTTCCTGCACTTGCCCTTATTCTTTTCCTTTTGTAAGGAATAAAAATTCAACTCCAAGGGTGTTGGAAAACAAAAGTTTTATTGAAACATTTGCAAAGGCTGGTGGATCTCTTGGTAATTGCAAATCCCAGAGACCACACTTGAATCACTTTCAGCATAAACTTTTATATCTTGTCCCGTAGAATATGCCACATCCTTCTTTTCCAGGCCCAGTTAATAGGTCCAGTCTGGTCACATGCTTTCCTACTGCTTAGCAACCAGACCCTCCAATTATTAGATGAAAGGCCCCTTTTGTTTCTGTCTTATCTCTCCTTCCTTGTCTGTGGCATGATTTGTAACATCCTGCTAACTCAGGGTGTAGTTTATCTACAAGGTGAACCTGTCTACCTAAACTGAATAATTGCAGTTAAAAAGGATTTATATCTTCCCTTGTTTATCTGGACAGCCATTTGTCTGAAATGGTATAGGATTTCCTGCCTGAGCAGGGGATTGGACTAGATGACCTCCAAGGTCCCTTCCAACATCATCATCATCATTATTATGGATCATCGCATAGTCAGCCAGATGTTCAGACTGGATTTGGCATTTTGTCTACCTACTAAGGATCTGGGATAGGCAGATGTGGATGTTTGATGGTATTACAGATATCGTCACAGGATGGAAGCAGTTCCTAGTAAGGCCGCCTTTTGCAATTGACTAATGGCGAATTTGTCAATGCCAATGGTGTCCAAGTGGTGCCCCAGATGTTTTGGGATTGCACCCAAGGCGCCTATTACTATTGGTACTACCCTTGCTTGCCTTTGCCACAGTCTTTCTATTTCTATTTGTAAGTCTTTGTATTTTGTTATCTTCTTCAGTTCTTTCTTGTCTATTCTGCTGTCTCCAGGCATCATCATCATCATTATTATTATTATCTGTAGGAGTGCTTGCTTTTTATCTAGAAGCTATGTATGTAATAGAGTTCATGCTTCAGTTAAACAGGGCTACACTTTGGTTCATAGTTATGCTTTAAAATACTGACTCTGGGCAATTTTTATAAAGAATAAACCTTATATAAATTGAATAATATTTCATTCATAAACTATATACTATTCTACAGTAGTGTGCACTATTCTAAAAGTATGCTTTGAGTCAGTGTGTATAGTCTCTCTCTGTTCCTCCAGCTTACTACATCTCCTTTCCTAAAAGTAGCTTAGCTAAGTGTCTCTACATGTCTATTCGTTAAGCAGAAATGGAAAAATACAACATGTACATTTATGGTAGACTTGGTATGTTTTATGTCAATCTTTGGTCTAGGTCAGGGGTGTCAAACTGCTGGCCTGCCGGCCGGATGCATCATGCTGAAACCGCACCTACCCCATTGCCGGCAATGGAAAAAAAGTTGTGATAACATTGTGACACATTACGTGACGTTGCGAGTTTGACACGCCTGGTCTAGGTGAAAACTTTTAATAAAAATTCTGTAAAAAAACAAAACAAAATCACATTGCCTGCTAGGCAAGAGATGAGGGAGAAAGAGAAGTAAGGAAAAATGGACGCAGAGAGAAAAAAGAGAAATGTTTTTGAGAGGAATGAAGAGCAGGAATTGTATTTTTGTTTTATTGTTTATTTCATTTTGTTTTGCACCGGTTTTGGTGCTGGCAGGGATCTTAACTTTGGGGGGAAGGGAAGTGGTAGGTTAAAATCTATACTCCTTAAAGCTGACAAGTTTGACACATCTGATTTATTTAATATTTTTCCTTTGATTTGAGCTAATAACCAAAGCACAGAAAAAACCAACAGAACAAAGTTATCAGATGTAAATGCTAGGCTTGGATTTAAATAATCGCTTGCTGGACAAGTCACAGCACCTCACTACAGTTAGTCCTAAATTTATAACCATTTGTTTAGTGACCATTAAAACAGCACTAAAAAAGGTGACTTACTACCAGTCCTCATATTTACAACTGTTGCAGCAATCCCACTATTGTTACGTGATCAAAATTCAGGCACTTGGCAACCAGCATGTATTTAAATGGATGCAGTGTCCCAGGGTCATATAATCACCATTTGAAACCTTGCCAACCACTTCTGACAAGCAGAGTCAATGGGGGAAACTGGATTCACTTAACGACTGCAGGAATCACTTAAGAACTACTTAAGATTGCTTAACAATCTTGTCAAAAGAAATCGGATGTGATTCACTTAACAACTGCCTTGTTTGGGACTGGAAGTTCTTGCCCAATATGATTATAAGTCAAGGATTACACATAGTTCAGAAAGTTAAGCAATTGTAGTTGGCCGTCAGTGGTTGCCAATGTGTTCACAGATCCTGCTCTCTGGGAATGTTCTGTCCTGTAAAACTAGTTCCTTCAACAAAAAACTCCCAGTGTCCAGACCCACCCTTTCCCTTATGTGAAATTTCTATTTGCAAGGTTTAAAAAATAATAGATTTATTTCTCAACAATTTGTCTGTACAAGTTGGAATAGTGGCTGACCATTCTTCTCTACAAGCTTCTCCACTCATTCTGTCTTTTCACCCCCACACAAAAGGGGTGGGAGCTGGATAAAGGGAATCCAGACAGCTTGATTCAGAGCTGAAACATCACTTGCACATAAATGCAACACAAATATGCCATGGCTGTATTTCATCCCACTGATGTGCCAGGCTGAAATGATCTTAAGCTGTTTTATTTTAAAGTCATGTTTTTTTCTCTTAGAGCTGGGTTTTCCCCACCTTGGCAACTTTAACATGTGTAGATTCCAGCTCCCAGAATTTCCTAGCTAGCATGGCTGGCTGAGGACTTCTGGGAGTTGAAGTCCATGCATCTTGGCAAGATTGCAAAACCCGCCTTATGGTGCCAGTTTAGTATAGTGGTTAAGGCAGACTTCTCCAGGCAATTGCCAGGCATCCGTGCTGGTTTTAAGGCCTCAATCAATCAATATTTTTCCCTTAAGTTATTTTAGGATGTGGAAAACCTGGTGCAGTTCTCTGTTCTTTTATTGCAAAATAATGATTTGCAGATGGTGGGAACAGCCATTTTCTCCCCTTGTCATAAAAGAGTTGGGCACAGCTGTGGGTTGCTTCAACACCTAGGAGAAACTAGATATTTGAAAGAGCTCTGAACTCAGGCTGGCTTAAGCTGGCTGGTAAAGTGAGAGAGGTTGTGCTGTCAGGTTTGGAGAGAGCGAGCTGTCTGACTTTATTGCACAACAACCTCAATCCAGTGACCAGCCATTCAGGTTTTATGGGAGCTTCGATCTCTCTTTTCTTTCAGTTCTCCCTGATTGACAGATTTGGTCTCCTGTTGGATGGCTCAGTTGGACAAACACTGTGATCATCTGTCAGAACTCATCACTTGCCCAAGCTCTGTTTCTGCCCTGTTTCCCTTTTGTTATTCTATTAGCAGATGGCTGGTGGCATTGATGGATTATGTGCCATCAAGTCATTGTCAATGCTTAGCAACTACATGGGTAGATTTTTCTCCATGATGTTTGCACATACAAAAGAAGACAATGCCATTTAGTAGCAAACCAAAACAGGCAATACAGCACAGGTAGTCCTCGACTTACAAGCATTCGCTTAGCAATTGTTCAAAATTAACAGTGGCACTGAAAAAAATGACTTACACCCAATCCCCAGTCATGTGATCATGTGACTTACACCCACTCCCCACAGTCACATGATCAAAATTTGGACACTTGGCAACTGACATTATTTATGATTGTGATTGCCATTTGCAACCTTCCCAGCCAGCTTCCAATGGTAAAGTCAATAGAGGAAGCTGGAGTCACTTAACCAACAGCATGCTTTGTTTAACAATCTTGGTGATTTGCTTAATGATTACAGCAAAAAAGTCAATCAGAATAGAGTTGGAAGGGACCTTGGAGGTCTTCTAGTCTAACTCCCTGCTCAAGTAGGAGACCCTATACCATTTCAGACAGGTGGCTGACCAGTCTCTTCTTAAAAACCTCCAGTGATGAAGCACCCACAACTTCTGGTGACAAGCTGCTCCAGTAGTTAATTGTTCTCACTATTAGGAAGTTTTTCTTAATTCCAGGTTGCGTCTCCTTGATTAGTTTCTATCCATTGTTTCTTGTCGTGTTTTCTGGTGCTTTGGAAAATATTCGACCCCATCTTTTTTGCAGCAGCGCCTCAAATACTGGAATACTGCTATCATATCACCCGTAGTCCTTTTCTCTAGACTGGCCAAACCCAAATCCTGCAACCGTTCTTCATATGTTTTAGTCTCCAGGCCTTTTATCATCTTAGTTGCTCTTCTTTGCACTTTTTCCAAAGTCTCAACATCTGAAAGTGAAACCAAGAAATTACTTAATGACCATTTTGCTTAGCAACAAACATTCCAGCCCCACTTATAGATCTAGTAGGAATTGGAGATAGAAATAGCAAATGTTATGACTGGATAGTTTTCTGCCAATTCAAAGATAGGAAGGTAATCAGAAGTCAGGAAAGGCATCAGATTTCTATAGACTGAGTGTGTTATTCTGACCCCATAGGTGTTACACAGAGTGATGTGTATAAATCACAACTTTCCCATTGACTCTGATGAGAAATGGTATAGTCCAGTGGTTCTCACCCTGTGGTCTGCGGACCCCTGAGGGTGGCGTGTTACAAGGTGTCCACAAAGGCTTGAAGAAATGTTATGATTTAAATTTTGAGTTAAGTCTTGGTGGTCCATGGCCTTGGTCTATGGTAGGGGTCTTCAAATCTGGCCCTTTTATGACTTGTGGACTTCAATTCCCAGAATTCCTCAGCCTGGTACTCTGGCTGAGGAATTCTGAGAGTTGAAGTCCACAAGTCATAAAAGGGCCAAGTCTGAAGAGCCCTGGTCTATGGCCACAAAGGGGGTCCATGATGAAGAAAAGATTGAGAACGACTGGTAGTGTCTTTTCTATCATAGCAGGCATTAACAGCCATTTTTGCTAAAATGAGAAATCCACCTTCTGTTTTTATTGAACTCATCAGGGTTTACTTCCTGGTGAATATTTACATGTAATTCATCTCTTAACTTTATCCTCCATCTTCATCAGTTCTGTTTATACATCTCCATAAAAGAGAAAATCCATCATTAAAGAAAGACAATAGAGGACGCTGATTTGCATTAACTGTGCATATATTCATCTATATGCGTCAAATGTAGAAGTATAAATCACACTGAAATGCAGTACAAGCTCACCATAGTTTATATTAAAAGCAGCATTTTGATGTGATACATATGGGAGGGCTCCAGTGTGCCATTTGGTCTAATTAGTTTGGGGTAGTTTTCAAATCTTTGAATCCTGAAGACATAAACTGGATGTATAATAGCTGTACAGATGTTCTTTGAGGACATTTAAAAGCCAGCTAGAATTGACTTTGGAACAGAATTAATCTGGGTGGCCCTGCTTGGTAATCTCCTGCAGGACTAAAAGAGAGTGTGACTCCATTGATCCTATTTGATCCTTCAGCAGCCTTGGATGAGATTGGTAACCCTATTCTCCTGAATTAACTCCATGATTTAGAGGCTGAGCACTTAAGGTTATGTTCAAGGAGCAGCACTGAGTAATCATTCCTCTTCACTGTAAATGACAGCTGCTTGGAGCCACAAGTTATTAATTTTGATCCAAAAGCTATTTAGCATGTATGAAGCTGCTGGGGGCAGTCGTCAGATGTTTTGCATCTATTTGGTATCAATGCACTGATGACATGCAGTTTTACTTTTCAATAAGACCTAAATTTGAAAAAGTTCTGTAGCTAGTTTTATTTGCTTATTGACCTAAATGGCAACAGCACTGGAAAAACAATGACTTATGAGTGATCCTTACACCTAGGACCATCACAGCATCCCCAGTCAGGTGATCAAAACCGGGGTGCTCGGCAACTGGCGTGTATTTACAACGGTTTCAGCATCCCCAGTTTGTGTGATTGCCATTTGCAACCTTCCCAGAAGGCTTTTGACAAGCAAAGGAAAGGGGAAGCCGATTCCAGTTTAACGACCTAATGATTCATTTAACAACTTAAAATGTCTTATTTAGCAATAGAAATGCTGGTCCCAGTTATGATTGTAAATTGAGGGCTGCTTGTATGTTTTGAACGAATGTCCGGCAACGGTGGTGGTATTGTGGAGGGGTGATAAACAAATTCAATCCTGGTAAAACATTCAGATGGATAGTTCCCAGGCACAAAAATTGGGAGCAGGAATTCTAACTGTTCAAATGGGGGGGATGTCCTCTTTTCAGGAACCACAAACTCTTGAACTGCCATTGGAGGGCAAGAGCACCTGTTATCATCTTCAGCTGGTATGTCAGCTGCGACCTTTCCTGGACCTAATCTGTTCAGGCATTGGTGACCTCATATTCAGAGTCCTGTGATGTATTTATCTGGCAGGTGCAGAATGCTGTGCCCAGGCCTTTCGAAGTGTGTATATGCACGGACTGCCACTTAACTTCCAAATCTGATTCAAAAGTTTGCATATTTGAGAGGACAGGTTGCCTATAAAATGGCAGCACCTGTTCTTTCACACACACACTGTGTGTGTGTGTGTGTGTGTGTGAGTGTGTGTGTGAGAGAGAGAGAGAGAGAGAGGGAGGGAGGGAGGAAGGGAGGGGTGGTAGTGGTGTTGGTGTTGGTCTATGGAAGTAAAGTAGCCTAAAGCAGATAGAAAAAGATATTATTCTCCAGCAGTAGGATTCATAAGGAATATTAGTTGGAGGAATAAAGGTATAATAGGAAAGAGTAGAAGAGAGACCAGTGAGTACTAGCCTTTGAGTCTTTGTGTATGTATTGACCTGATCTCCTGGAGCCTGCTGACTTGGGAATTCTTAAAAGAACCTGTGACAAAGTAGTGGTATTAGTGGGATGTCCAAAAAAGATACGACAGGACAGACTGCCCACAAAATGGCCAGCCCCTGTGTTACTGTTTCCCTTGAGAGCATCTGACATACAAAAGGATCAAGAGCCAGTGGAGAAGTGCAACATAAGGGAGAATCTGGCTTCATGTGTGTAGATTGGTAGAGTGCAATCTTTGTTTGGAGACTTTCTGTGGAGTGGTGCTTGTGCTCTAGAGCAGTGTTTCTTAACCTTGATAACCAAGGTAGGTGGACTTCAAATTCCAGAATTCCCCAGCCAACAAGCCCACCTATCTTAAAGTTGCTAAAGTTGAGAAACACTGCTCTAGAGCAGGGGTGTCAAACTCACAATGTCACGTGACGTGTCACAACGTATCACGACTTTTTTTCCATTGCCGGCAATGGACCATGACACGTTCGGCCTGCGGGCGGCAGTTTGACACCCCTGCTCTAGAGTATTTTCTTACCTCTAATTTTTAAGGTATCTGTCATTTTATCTTTCTTCCAGGCCCTCCCTGTATAAATCCTGGATTAAACTGTTTACTTTTGTTTTTCTTGCTCTTCCTCATTTTTAAAAATACACGAGAGTTTTCAATACATACATACATGAAACATTAGATCAAAGAGAACCAGCTATGTCAGCTGTTCAGGTGAACTATGGACCTCCTCAGGTAACCTGTGGGTCTTCTCAGTTTACTAATGATGAGCAACTTCAAAGCTTTGCTTCCTTCAAACCAGTTTGTAAGTCCTTTAGTTGGAAAACACCTTCAGACAAATGCCACTCCTAAGTGAATAAGTTTCACTTATTCTATGAGTAATGATTTTGTTTATAAACTTATAATGTTAAAGTTTGAAGAGAATTAAGGGTTTTTATGATTTTGTTCATTGTATAATTAGTAAACTTAAATAGATTATGTTTAATATGTTTGCATAATCCTGTATTTTGCTCTGGGAAGTCGGGGGGAGGGGGTGGGGGTGGATGGGTTGAAGTTTAAGTAGTTCAGATAAAGTAGAAATAGTCTTATTGTATATAATATTAATGTTTTAATTTTGAGAGAGGAACTGCTTGGGCATTTCCCCTGGACCGCATCAAGAGGGAGAAGAAGAAGGTGAGAAGTAAGTAGGAAGGTGGAGGTGAAGGAGGAGAGGGGGTGAGTGAAGAAAAAGAGGGAAAGAAGTAAGTTGGTTTGAGGTGAGATGCGGTTTGGGGGGAAATGGGCGGGCAAGACCGAATGTGGTGTGTATCAATTTGTTTTATTTTTTATCTGAAGTATTTGTAAGATTGTTATGTATTATAAAATTGAAAATAAAAATTTTTACAAAAAAAAAAAAAAAAGACAAATGCCACTCCTTAGCAAAGTTGGTCAGAAGGACAGGCTTATCCTAGAATTCGAAGCCAAGCCGGGGCCACCAGGCAGCCAGGAAAAAGAGAGAGGGGGTTCCTTGGCTGACTTCCAGGAAAGTGCCAGCCCAAGAAATCTATAAGAAATTATGATGTTGATTCAGCAGGCCTGTTCCCAAGATAACGGTGATACATATGGTGCAATGGAAGCAGTATAAAAGAGGTTGAAGGTTCCCATAGAGGACTTTTTAGGAGATAGCCACAGATCTCCAAACCTGGGACTGCGTTGGTCACGATGTAAGTAAGAAATGGGACAAGAATTTTTTTTCTACTTAACACAGTCAAAGAAAACCAACAATCCATTCTTACCAATCTAGGTGAAAAATTTATATACTGCCCTTAATCTAAGTTTTTAAGAATTGCTTCAGTGGTAGAGAGGGAGCTGGATGGTTTCTAAATTTAATAAAATAATTAATAGGGGAAAAACTTCCTAAATCTCAAAAATTGTGTTGATACAGGTGACCCGTAAATGGTCGTGCTTTTTATATCCCGGTGGCTCTAGAGTTCTTTCTAGCAGCAGCTTTCTGGAAAGAGAAGTCAGTCTGGGATTTGTAGAGAGTACGGTAGAATTGGATTTTAAAGCTCTGCCATTAAGCCCTTTGTTCCCATGTAAAAATTGGAGCATGAGGAATATTAAGGCTTCGGTGACCAATGTCACCCCTTGGAGATACTGCAAGAAATACAGTGAGCAGATTGGAAGTATGCCTGCTACCTATGGGGAAAAGGGCAGTGTCACAATATACAGGCAGTCCTCGACTTAATGACCACAATTGGGACCAAAATTTCCATTGCTAAGCAAGGCAGTTACGGTAAGTGTGTGTAGTGTGTAGTGAGGTGCCCCAGGGTTCTGTTCTGGACCCAGTGCTTTTCAACATTTTCATCAATGATCTGGACAAGGGGATCGATGTGGAACTCATCAAATTTGCAATGACACCAAGCTGGCAGGAATAGCCAACACTCCAGAAGACAGGCTTAGGATACTGGAGGATCCTGACAGACTTGAACACTGGGCGCTATCTATAGTGAAAAAAAGTAAGGTTCTACATTTAGGCAAGAAAAACCAAATGCACAGGTATAGTATAGGGGGTACCTTGCTCAATAGTAGTAATTGTGAGAGGGACCTCGGAGTCCTAGTGGACAATCACTTAACTATGAGCCAGCAGTGTGCTGCAGCTGCCAAAAAGGCCAACACTGTGCTAGGCTGCATTAACAGAGGGATAGAATCAAGATCACATGAAGTATTAATACCACTTTATAATGCCTTGATAAAGCCACACTTGGAATACTGCATCCAGTTTTGGTCACCGCGCTGTAAAAAAGATGTTGAGACTCTAGAAAGAGTATAGAGAAGAGCAACAAAGATGATCAGGAGATTGGAGACTAAAACATAAGGAACGATTGCTGGAATTGGGTATGTCTAGTTTAATAAAGAGAAGGACGAGGGTTGACATGATAGCAGTATTCCAATATCTCAAGGGCTGCCACAAAGAAGAGGGAGTCAAGCTATCCTCCAAAGCACCTGAAGGCAGGACAAGAAGCAACGGGTGGAAAGTAATCAGTGAGAGACGCAACCTAGAACTAAGGAGAAACTTCCTGACAGTTAGAACAATTAATCAGTGGAACAACCTGCCTCCAGAAGCAGTAAATGCTCCAACACTGGAAGTTTTTAAGAAGAGACTGGACAGCCATTTGTCTGAAATGGTATAGGGTTTCCTGCCTGAGCAGGGGGTTGGACTAGATTACCTCCAAGGTCCCTTCTAACATTATTATTATTATTGATCATTGCACAGTCAGCCAGATGTTCAGACTGGATTTGGCATTTTTGTCTACCTATTGAGTCCTTACCAAGGACCTGGGATAGGCAGATGTGGATGTTTGATGGTATTACAGAGTTATTATTATTGTTGTTATTTCTAATTTTATGGTTTTTTTGTTTGGGTTTTTTTTGCCAAGGTCAAATGAATCATTGAAGTTGCTAAGGGAATCACATGGTGGTTAAGCAAATCCGGCTTCCCCCCACTCATTTTTGCCTTGTCAGAAGCTGGCTGGGAATGTTGCAAATGGCCATCACATGGCCCTCAGGATGGTGTGACAACCCGTCGCCAAGTGCCCAAATTTTGATCACATGACCATGGGGAATGCTGTAATGGTTGTAATTGTGAGGAATGGCTTAAACTCGCTTCAGTGTCGTTGTAACTGGTCACTAAACAAATGATTATAAGTCGAGGACTACCTATAATAGTAAAAAAAAAGGAAGCTTATTGATTGTATACACAATTGTCTTTCCAGGAAGAATTGTTTCATCCTCATCGTCCTCCTTTTGTGTGGCCTCAACCTCCATGCAGGTAAATTCAAGGAAAGTCTGTTCCACAGTGAGTGGGGCTATTACCCACACATCCCTACCACAGCTCAACCCTTTCTCCCCCCCCCTAATTTTATTTCAGAGTTTGCTCGGACTTCCTCCTTTTCTGGGGAGTATGGGGGGACAGGTGGAAAGCGCTTTTCTCATTCTGGGAACCAACTTGAGGGGCCCATAACAGCCATAAGGGTCCGGGTTAACAGTTGGTACATTGTGGGGTAAGTACGTGAATGGTTGAGAGGGCTGTGGCTCAGGATTATGTATGATGAAGGAAAAACCTGCTAGGGTTGGTGGAAATTAAAATACCCCGTGTGTCAACACAACTTTGTAGGGTATGGCTGGCTGGGGAATGCTGGGAGTTGAAGTCCATGCATCGAAAAGTTGCCAAGCTTGAGAAACTCTCATCTTCACTAGAGTATCTTTGGGATAAGACACTGGATCACTTGTAACATAGGGAATAATAATAATAATAATAATAATAATAATAATAATAATGGCTTGGGACCACGTTAGCCGAGGTGGCGCAGCAGTTAGGGTGCAGTACTGCAGGCCACTTTAGCTGACTGTGTTCAGCAGGTCAGCGGTTCAAATCTCACCGGCTCAAGGTTGACTCAGCCTTCCATCCTTCCGGGGTAGGTAAAATGAGGACCCAGATTGTTGGGGGCAATGTAAATATATATATATATATATCGGTATATAAGTCTCATAAATAAATAAATAAATATTTGAAGGGCTGTCTTTTCCCGGCCACATCTACCCAACTCACCAAAGCACGGAAGTAGGGGATGCTATGGGTCCCCTCTCCTAAGGAGGTCCCTCTAGCAAGACCACGAAGAAGGGCCTTCCTTCTCTATATAGTTCCTGTGTCAACACAATTTTGTGGGGAAGCAGATCAGATTTGTTTATTTAACTTCTAAAGCTGCCCATCTCAGTGACTTTGGGTGACTTACATTTCCCATATTAATAAAACAATAAAAAGCATTTTGCAATCAAAACAGCCAACATAAATATAAACAGAAGCCTATTTATTTACTTATTCCATTTCCACAGCACCCATCCCAATCAATGGCTCTGGGCAGCTTACACTTCCAAAACTATAAAAAAAATTTAATTAAAGCAACCAGTCTGTAAAATCTAAAATGTACTTGAATATGTAGAGATATCTCAAGGAAGGGCTTAAAAGAGATTAAGATGGCAGTAATGACCACGTACGCAGCACATATAAAAAGAGGAAGGATTTCAGCTACGCTATTGCATGTAAGATGCATACACAAACAAGTGTCATCATAAGGATATTTGTTCTTTAGAGCAGGGGTCTCCAACCTTGGCCATTTTAAGACGTGTGGACTTCAACTCCCAGAATTCAACCAATTCAGAGATGGCTATGCTGGCCAAGCCTGATGGGATTTTTAGTCAGTTCATCTGAAGCAAGGTTGGCTGTGCAAGATTAATCTGGATCATGACTGGCTGGGGAATTCTGGGAGTTGAAGTCCACAAGTCTTCATGTGGCCGAGGTTGAGGACCCCTGCTCTAGAGATCTTCTCTGTTCATGTGGAAGAGGGAAAGGCTTGGGGATAACTTTTGTATTCCTTCAGTTTGATTTTGGCTCCCTTTCAGGTTTTAGAAATAGCCTGAATCAGTTTCATGGACAAATGTGAAAACTTACGTTTGCCAGAATTCCAATTTGTGGATATTTCTGGAATCAGACTTGTATACCATCTGTCCCTAACTTTCCCAGCTCTGGGGATCAGCAGGGGCAGTGGCGGATGGTGGCAGCGGAGGGTAGGGGTGGGAGATGGTTTTGTACATGCAACTTAATTCCATGAATGTGCATATGGAGCTTTGTGCACTTGCCCGTCACTTGCACAGCCCAGTTTCTAGGGGCCATGGACTGGTAGTGGTCTGCGGACCGGGGGTTGGGGACCCCTGTTGTACACAGCAGAGTAGTGATTAAACCTTGTTTATGAAAATATTGCTTATAATTATGATTATGTGCCATTAGGTTGTGAATTCCCGACTCCATAATTAGGTTTTCTTCATGATGATCTGTCCCTGACCTGTCCTTCAGATCTTCCAACAAGAGGAACCATCTCGACTGCTGGTCATCCTTTTTTTCTCTTTCCTTCCCCAGTTATTATACTTAAATCCATGTTTTTTGCTTGTTAATCATTGATGAGTCCAGAAAGATAATAGGCTACATCATATTAAAGCCATGGCTCTGAGAACTTCGTGCTGGATCTGAAACTGAATTACTCTGCTTGTTATCAAATTCAGCTTTGAAATGAGATACTCAATCTTAGTTATTTGAGAAAATTTATATGGCCGCCCAATTCAATCTCAGTGATTCCAAGGAGCTTGCAAAAATAAAAGGCCAATATAAAACAATAAAAAGCAATAACTCCCTACCCTCCCAGTTGACCATAATCAAATAATTTGGCTTGGACAAATGTGCCACACTTACTATCAAACAAGGAAAAATAGTGAAAACTGAAGGAATCAAGATGCCCCACGAAAATAACATTAAGAGTCTGGATGAGGAAGAGTACTATAAATACTTGGGTATTCTTCAAGCTGACAACATCAAGCACACTGAAGTCAAGAAAAAGATTAGAGGTGAATACATCAAGAGAGTGAAGAAGATCTTAAAGTCCAAACTCAATGGAGGAAATACCATAAAGGCAATAAACACCTGGGCAATCCCAGTCATTAGGTACACAGCTGGAATAGTGGACTGGACTCAAGCAGAACTAAAAGCAATGGATAGGCAGACCAGAAAAATAATGACAATGAATCATGCCCTTCATCCACGCAGTGACATTGATAGACTTTATCTACCAAGGCAAATAGGTGGGCGTGGAATGCTACAAGTACATCAGATGGTTGAAGAAGAAAAAATGGCTTTGTAAGAATATCTGAAGAACAATGATGAAGATGCACTGAAATTAGTATATCAGGAAGGCTTACTAACTACTGGAGAGACCAAACTGGCCTACAAGAAAGACCAAATGAAGAACAGAATAGAGGCATGGGAAGACAAAGCACTACATGGCCAATACATGAAAAAATAGCTGGGAAAGCAGATAATAATAAAACCTGGCAATGGCTAAGAGCAGGAAAATTGAAGAAAGAGACCGAGGGACTAATTCTGGCTGCACAAGACCAAGCCTTAAGGACAAATGCATACAAAGTCAAAATTGAGAAGACAGCAACAGACAGTAAGTGCCGCCTATGCAAAGAAGCTGAAGAAACAGTGGACCACTTGGTAAGCTGTTGCAAGCAGATTGCACAGACTGATTACAAGCAGCGACATGACAAAGTAGCAACAATGGTGCATTGGAAGATCTGCAAAAAATATCATTTGCCTGTAAGCAAAAACTGGTGGGATCATAAAATAGAGAAAGTCATAGAAAATGATAAATTAAACTGCTCTGGGACTTCAGAATTCAAACAGACAAGCACCTGCAACATAACACCCCAGACTTAACACTTGTCGATAAGAAAGACAAAAAAGTCTGGATAGTGGACGTGGCAATGCCTGGAGATAGCAGAATAGAAGAGAAAGAACTGGAGAAGATAACAAAATACAAAGACCTACAAATAGAAATAGAAAGACTGTGGCAAAAGCAAGCAAGGGTAGTACCAATAGTCATAGGCTCCTGGGTGCAATCCCAAAACAACTGGAGCACCACTTGAACACAATTGGCATTGACAAATTCGCTATTAGTCAATTGCAAAAGGCGGCCTTACTAGGAACTGCTTCCATCCTGCGACGATACCTGTAACACCATCAAACATCCACATCTGCCTATCCCAGGTCCTGGGTAAGGACTCGATAGGTAGACAAAATGCCAAATCCAGTCTGAACATCTGGCTGACTGTGCGATGATCCATAATAATAATAATAATAATGTTGGAAGGGACCTTGGAGGTCATCAGGAAACTCTATACCATTTCAGACAAATGGCTGTCCAGTCTCTTCTTAAAAACTTCCAGTGTTGGAGCATTCACCGCTTCTGGAAACAGATTGTTCCACTAGTTAATTGTTCTAACTGTCAGGAAGTTTCTCCTTAGTTCTAGATTGCTTTGTAGATTGCTCCCTCTTCTTTGTAGCAGCCCCTGAAATATTGGAATACTGCTATCATGTCAACCCTCGTCCTTCTCTTCATTAAACTAGACATACCCAATTCCAGCAGCCGTTCCTTATATGCTTTAGCCTCCAGTCCCCGAATCATCTTTGTTGCTCTTCTCTATACTCTTTCTAGAGTCTCAACATTTTTTTACATTGTGGTGACCAAAACTGGATGCAGTATTCCAAGTGTGGCCTTACCAAGGCATTTAAAGTGGTATTAATACTTCACGTGATCTTGATTCTATTCCTCTGTTAAATAAGTCACTTAACGAACTCCATCCCACTTTGGGGTTTCCAGCCTCTTGGTAAAACTTTAACTTAGGGGCCTTGTGAAAGAACGTCATGGGGATGATGTTCCACATGGAGGCAGCCACCATGGAGAAGGCCCTTTCTCATGTTGCTGGATGGACTTCCTTAGGAGAAGGGATCCATAGAATTCCTATGCTGGCTGGGGAATTCTGGGACTGGAAGTCCACACATCTTCAAGCTGCCAAGTTTGAGAAACACTCATCTACACTATAGTATCTTTGGGATAAGACACTGGATCAAATTTAACATAGGGACCACATCATTTGAATGCCTATGTTTTCCCAATCATATCTACCCAACCCACAAGAGCAGGGAAGTACGGAATGCTGGTTGGGGAATTCTGGGAGTTGAGGTCCATGCAACTTCAAGTTGCCAAGCTTGAGAAATATTCATCTAGATTCTTCTGTTGTTTCATTTTGAATTGTCAATGGCTCTTCTTCCAACCCATGTTTTTTCACATGGCAGAGTAACTATAGGATTACTTAACCGAACGTTGATGTATAGTGCCAGATGAAATGAATAACCTGTGTGGTTTAGTATGCGAGCAAACACACTCTCGGAGAAAGGCTTCTGACAGCCCAGGAATAATTTCTACACTTGTTGGAAATAAAGACTGTTCCCGATGTTGGTTTAGTCATCATTAAGCCAGTTCTCCCTTTAATCAGTGTAGGTGTAATTAAGACCAAACAAAAGCTCCATTGTGCAGTTGTCTTGACGTTCTTTGCAGAATTTTAAGAAGAGTTATTACAAAGGTAGCCTCAGTTTCTAACCTCCGTTTTTTCCCCCCATTGCTCATTTCTTCATTGTTCTTCTCAAAGAAAATCTATTAAGGAAACTAAGATGCCTTTTTATTGGTAATAATATGATTCTAATCTGGAAACTCATACTTCACAGATTGAAATTGGTCCGAGAGAACTAAGATCCTGTTTATGTATTCTAGCTTGCAGGTCCGTTATGGAAAAGACTGGAGTAACTACCTTGGTGGCAATTCGGGAGATTTGGAGGAAATCTTCTTGTTCCCAGGAGAGTCCATCATTCAAGTATCTGGAAGATATAAAACTTATCTCCAGAAAGTGGTCTTCGTCACGAACCGGGGGCGCTACTTTCCTCTCGGCAGGGACGACGGCACCAGTTTCAGTGGGGCACCACTCTACCCAAACACCGTCTTGCGTTATTTCAGCGGACGTTCCGGTTCCCTCATTGATGCCATTGGATTCCACTGGGATAAGTATCCTTGCAGTTGCAGCAATTGTAGAAATCAGACGCAGCAACAAGAGGTTGCAGAGAGTGAGCAGAGTAGCGGAAAGCCTCTGCTACCCGTGAGATTAGTGTAATAAGTTCCTTCAACCTCCAAGGATACTAGCCTCCCTTGCCCTATTGCCAATTATCTGTCTCTCTACAGATGCCTACTAAACCAATAAACCATCCTAAACCGAAACAACCTTTTCTTCCAACATATTTCCCACCCCTCCTTTATCCTTAAAAGGAAAGGAAAGAAAAGCTACCATCCATCTGATCTGCCTCAACTTTGCTTTGGAGCCGTTCTTCCTACAAAGGATCCAGCCCTGAACACTGTGGCTAATAAAAGGCAAACTGGAAACAAAGCATCGTTGTTTTTATTTGCTGATTGTCCACCCTTGAAGCTGGTGCCATCACTCTGCTGAAATAACATAGGAATTTCTTACAACCTAATTTTGCAATTATGAATTCACATAATGGGAAAAATGGAGCAATGCTTAAAGGTATCAACCATGAGCTCCTACTCTTCTCTCAATCACAGCCTTCCTGTTTGATCCTAAGTAAACTGCTACCTGGCCTCCTTAGCTTTCCTGATATAAATGAAAGGACAAAATAATGCTGTTTTTCTAAAGCTATTGTGAAGATGAATGAACTTACGCACTTTACCCAAGCCATAGCTTTCTTTAACCATAATTCTTGAGTAGGTAATAACGGCTGTGCTGACATACAGGTAGTGCTTAACTTATGACCATACCAGAATTTTCATTTCTAAGCAGGGTGTTTGTTAAGTCACACTCAGTTTTACGACCTTTTTGCCATGGTTGTTAAGTGAATCACATGGTTGTTAAGCAAATTCAACTTCCCCCGTTGACTTTGTTTGACCGTAACCAGATGGGAAGGTCACAGGTAGCTTTCACATGACCCTGGGATGCTGCAACCATCGTAAATACGTGCCAGTTGCCAATTGTCCAAATTTTGATCACGTGACCCTGGGGACGCTCTGACAATTGAAAGTGCGAGGACCAGTTATAAGTCACCTTTTCAGTGTTGATGTAACTTCAACTGGTTGCAAAATGAATGGTTGTAAGTTGAGGACTACCAGTACGTGAGCCAAACCCAAGAAATCATGTTATGCTTTGGTGTGATGTACAAACCCAGCCATACACTTTAAAAAAAGATAAATGATGCTGGAATGGATGGAAGGTTGTTTTGTGGGGAGGGAGGTTCAAAAAAAAAGCTGATTGGTTGATGTCTTCTATGTTTTGTGTGCTTTGTTGTTTAAGCATGTTGAGCATGTTAATATTCGCAGGAGTATAAATGCAACAGCTATGCAAACATCCCCAAACAACAGACACACATTTTCCCTGATGTGCAGTGATGCAGAAGTCTAAATCAAGCCTAGGGCGTCAAGTTAGCCTAGAAGCCAGGAGACAGTAAATTCTAGACCCACCTCAAGTATAAAAGTCGGCTGGATGACTTTGGCCCAATCACCAGAAGACTGTGAATTCTAGTCCCATTGGAAAGTAGTCAGATATCTGCTTTCCATTTTTCAGGGCTTGGAAGTGTAAGTTTTATGGCCCTCAAAATAACTTTGGGAGGAGCCAAAATTGTTGGCTTTTCTTGGGTTTGGCTTTTACGATGGGCTGAATAGCCAAAATGGGACAGATATTGAACACCGCTACCCAAGTTTGCTTTCCATTAGACATTCACAAGGAGACTGTGAGTTCTAGTCCCACTTTGGGCATGAAAAACCGGGTGGATGACTTGGGGCCAGTCACTCTTTCTGAGCCCAACAATCCACAGGGTTGTTGTGAGGAAAATAGGAGGAGGAAGATATATTGGATATCAGAATATACAATATTCAGATTGGATCCTGTTATTGCAGGGGTCCACAGTCTGGTGCTGGGCTGCAGCCTGTTTAGAATGGGGCTGAAGAAGTGATGGGGAAGCATGTGTGTTCCTGCATGTGTGCCTGAAGCTGTATTTGTGAAAGTGGCATGCATGCGGGCAAGAAACCATCTCTCTTTCCCCCCCGCCACTGCTGCTGCTGCCATCGCCTCCACCAGTCCACCGAATTAGAAAGCTTGGGGATTGCTGTGTATTGGATATGTTCACTGCCTTGAGTTATTTATAAAAATAATAAAGCCAGTATTTAAATAAATAAAAACTTGGCAAATCCACTCCCCTGAACTTGTCCTCACTAATATCATCAATGAAGAGTTGTGCATGGTCAGCAGACTGTGGAAAACACTTCCGTAACATAGGAATGATAAAGGATAAATTCAGGTCCCCTTGGTAGTTAGCCAAGGATGAAATAAAGGCAATTGCGTGAAAATATGGCCTTTAAAAATGGTATTTTTGTGTCACGACAAGAAGAAAGAAAGAAGATGAAGATCCATATGGAAGCTCCTGTAGGGCTGCTAAGAATCTCTTGCTTGGAGACATTATCAATTCCAAGCATTCTCCGTGTAAAAAGGAAGACCAAGTGAGCTATTTGGAATCAATAACTGTCAGTTGCTAGGCACTCTTATGTCGTTTCCTGCAATCCTGTAGACCTCCCAAGATTTTGGTGTTCTTGTCTGAAACCCCATGTGAGAATGTTGAAATGTCACATAATTAGGGCCATCTCATGAGATACTGGCCATTTTCAAAGAAAATATTTTCAGTTTTTACTAGTTATCTCTAATGGGCAGGGCCAGGAGGAACACCTGAGGATAGTTGACCCATCAGTGTTGTGGCACCTGCATTGGGCCTTGTTGTGGATCCCTAACTGCGATGAATGCTAGACACCAATGCAGATCTATATCTCTAGATGGGGATGTTTGGTTGCACAAAACCAAAGCAGAATGTGTATGTTCTTCCCTTCCCCTTGTGGTTGTTGTACCTTCATTTAAGCTAGTTTGTGTCTAGATCAGGTTGTCTAACATAGGCAACCTTAAGACCGATGGACTTCAACTCCCAAAATTCCTCAGCCTGCCATGAGGGCTCGGGAATTCTGGGAGTTGAAGTCCATAAATCTTAATGTTGTCCAGGTTAGATACAATACCACTGGCCTGGACCATCACTTCTTTTTCTATTAGTTAGCAGCCTTGATTTTTTTTTCCCTGTGTCTGAGCAGCTAAGCATTTATTTCTATGTCACCTTATCTCCAGAGAGTAGCTCTTTAATTCTCAGAGCAATCCCGTAAGCTAAGTTGTGTGAAAAGATATTAGCTAGCCCAACGTTTGTCAGCTGACTTCCACAATCCAGGAGGACTTGATCCAAGTTCTCTGCTTGAAACCACCACCCTGCCTGAGATATTTTAAAACAGCAGGAGAAGCAGAAAATCCTTCTTCCCTTATGTACGTCTCAGCTCAGCAAGAAGAGACAACGAAAGCTTTGATTTTATTATAATCCATCAATTCAGTGTTGACTGTTGGTATCCACACAGATTTTCTCCAAGATATAGATCTTCAATCACCACTATAAGAGAGCCCATATAATTTACCCCTGGCCACTGAAACTTTCTCTTTCCATTCAACGTTCCCAGCATGATGGACTTCTCCCAAGAGAAAGGTCTATGTCCAAAATACAATATGGTAATTTGAGCTGGGTCATTTATGCTTTGAGTGAGAATTCTGGATTGATTTGTTCAACAATCCATTGGTTTATTTTCTTAATCATTTGTGGCATTCTCAAGAATCTTCTCCAGCACCAAATTTCAAAAGCACCAAAATTCTTTCTATCTTGTTCTTTGATCCTATTTCTATCTCGTTTCTTTAAAGCCCAGCTTTTGCTTCTGCAGAGAGTCATGGGGAAAAGCATTGTCTGAATGATTCTGGTCTTTCATTCATTCATTCATTCATTCATTCATTCATTCATTCATATTTTTATTTATTTCTTGTATCCTTTGTTATTTTTATAAACAACTCAAAAACAGTGAACATCCAATACTCTTTCCCCCTCCTATTTCTCCCACAATAAGCTTGTAATGACTGACCCAAAGTCACCCGTCAGCTTTCATGCCTAAAGTGAGACTAGAACTCACAGTCTCCTCGTGATTGGCCCAAAATTACCCATCTGGCCTTCATGCCTAAGATAGAGCTAGAACTCACTGTCTTCTGGTTTCTAGCCCGGTTCCTTAACCATTATACCAAACTGCCTCTACAGCATAGACTCACTGCAGCATCTGAATGTCATTTCCAAGACTTGCATAATTTCCCTACCAAGTGCTGGTCTGTGGTGTATTTTTGGCTGCTGGTTCTTTCACCACTGATAGTTGATCCCCAAAAGGCAGAAGCTAGCCTGAATTTCTAATGGAAAGCAAACTCTGGTACTGCTATTCGCTATTCATTCCATTTTGGTTATTCACCCCATCCCTCCAAAAAATAATAATAAAAAAAAAATATCAAGAAAAGCGAACAACTTTGGCTCCTTCCAAAAGTGTTATTTTGGCCATAAAATTGCATCTCCATGCCCTGCAGAATGGAAAGAAGACATTTGACTACGTTCCAGTCTTTATTGCTTAATGTCACCAACTTTTGATAGGAGAAATTCCTACCAGGAGAAGGTTAATTAGATGTTAAGGGAAGCATTGTTTGCTTCAGCAGGTGACCAAGAAAGAGAAAATGTATGTAATATTTGGATGCCCATCTTGAATTCCTGCCCTCCCACTTTTTAAAATTGATTCTTTTGATCTCAACATCAATCAACCAACAGGAAGCTTTCATGGTGTGAAAAAAAAAACCATGTTCTCTCTTTGCAAGAATGCCTCTGGACTCTGCATGTTCTCCATGCACAATTTTGAAAACATCAGATAGGTGCAACCTAGAACTTTCCTAGGAAGGTGGATCACCTATCCAGCAAAAAAAGTGAGAGTGAATCTGGTGGGGATGTTTTTACAGTGAATGGATGTGAATAGTGCAGGAAAACTTTCTTTTAACAAATTGGCAGGGAGGCCAATTGCATGTTAAACTGAACAGTACTTATCCACACCTTCCAGATAGAAGATTTTTTTAGCATGAATAATCAAAACTAGCCCATGAAAGTGGTGCCCCTCAGACTTTTTTAAAAAATTGAAATGATCAGCTTTGTTTTTTCTTTAAAAAAAACCCAATAATTTCAAAAATACTTTCAAGCAGAAAATATTACAGGTAGTCCTTGACTTACCCCAGTTCATTTAGTGACCGTTCAAAGTTACAATGGCACTGAAAAAAGTGACTTATGACCGTTTTCACACTTATGACCATTGCAGCATCTCCTTGGTCATGTGACCAAAATTTGGACGCTTGGCAAATGGTTCATATTTACGGCGGCAGCAGTGTCCCAGGGGTCATCTGATCCCCTTCCGACAAGCAAAGGCAATGGAGAAGCCAGTTTCACTTAA